GGTCAACAAGAATACGAAGGCCAAATCCCAAATATGACAATGCAGCCATAATTGAAGAAGAAACAGATCATGAGACGTTCGAAGAAGCATCACAGAGTTCTTAGTGGATGACAGCTATGAAAGAAGAGATCGATACACTTCAGCAAAATCAAACTTGTGATCTTGTGACAAAGATAAAAAATGTGAAACTCATATCTTGCAAATGGGTTTACAAGATAAAGCGTCGTTTAGATGGGTCAATCGAGAGGTACAAGGAACGATTGGTAGCTCATGGTTTCTCTCAACAGTATGGACTAGACTATGATGAAACATTTAGTCCAGTGGCAAACTTACAACCGTACGAGTCCTACTTGCACTTACAACGAACAAAGACTGGAATTTGTGGCAGATGGATGTGAAGAATATTTTTCTCCATGGAGAGCTAGCTCGAGAGATCTACATGACCCAACCAATGGGTTTTCAGAATCAAGATCATCCTGAATATGCGTGTAAGCTACAAAAAGCACTCTATATATTGAAACAAGCACCTAGGGCGTGGTATGGTAAGATTGTTGAATTTCTAACGAAAAGTGGTTATTTAGTAACACCTGCAGATTCTAGCTTGTTTGTCAAATCCAATGAAGGTAAACTAGCTATCGTTCTAGTGTACGTGGATGACTTAATCATAACCGGTGATGATGAGGCAGAAATTCTTCGGACGAATGAGAATTTATCAGTTCATTTCTAGATGAAGGAACTTGGACGACTGAAGTACTTCCTTGGTTTAGAGGTTGACCGCACACACAAAGGAATATTTATGTGTGCACATGAAGAAAAATATTTAGAAAATGCGACAATGTATCGATAATTGGTAGGTAGTCTGATCTACTTAACCTTGACTCGACCTGACATTTGTTATGTCGTTGGTGTGATGAGTCGATACATGAAAAATTCGAAGAAGTCTCATTTAGAAGTGGTTCAACGAGTACTTAGATATGTGAAGAGTACAATAGACTATGGTCTTTTATACAAGAAAGGTGGAAATTGCAAACTAGTTGGCTACTGTGATGCTGACTATGTAGGAGATCACGATACTTGCAGATTAACTACTGGGTATATGTTTACCCTTGGATCTGGAACGATCTCTTGGTGTAGCAAGAGACAACCAACTGTGTTCTTATCAATTACGAAAGCAGAGTACCGAGCAGCAACAATGGAAGCTCAAGAAAGCACATGGATGATACAACTAATGAATGATCTACATCAATCAGTAGATTATGCAGTTATGTTGTACTGTGACAACCAATCGACAATTCGGCTAGCGGAGAATCCTGTTTTCATGCAAGAACTAAACATGTGGAAGTGCATTATCACTTTGTAAGGGAAAAAGTTCTGCAAGAAGAGATTGAGACGAGGTAAGTCAAGACATATGAACAAATTGTGGACTTGTTTACAAAAAGCTTGAGCGTTGGAAAGTTTGAATATTTCCATCGCTAGCTTGGCGTGATTCAAATAATGGGGGCTAACATTGAGAGTGAGTGTTGAAGAAATCAATATTAGCCCACACCCAACTTAATTGATGTAAACAACTTAATTTAATGTCATTGTTAACATCAATTAAGTTAGGTGAAGATGTCATTTCTTATCTCATATTAATGGAGTAGGTGGAGTAGGTGATAATAATGTATGGCTAGGAATATTTCTCAATTTAATATTTGTATGGTGTAGGTTATATTGTGAGGACTATAAATACCCCCTTGCATTTGAGTTATGCATTCATCCAAAAAATTTGAGTGTAGTGTCTTGAGTATAAGTTGTGAGCTTTCTATTGAGTGTTTATTTCTCTTCAAATTTGAGTGGTCTTTTGAAAGTGTTGTAGTGACTTTTATTGTGGGTTTATAACAAGTAATTTGGTTACTTGTTTGGGTCCAATATTAGTAAGGTTAGGGTTGTATACTCTAAATTTTTCTCTAAAGAAAGTTCTCCCTTTCGCGATTATTTGGTTTATCTGGCATTTTAGGAACGATATCACCTTTAGGGGGAAGGAGTTGGATTTTTCTCCACTGATCTTCATTATTAAGTATAGATTTGTGTGTTGGTGTTTGAATAAATCCCTATAAGATGTAGTTTTCATGGATGATTTCATTCTTGTTCTTGTTAGAGTTGATGGTTCCATTTTTAATATTTGTCCTCCTTCGACTCCAAATGCTTGGTGTCCTCCCCCTCGACTGGTTGAAAAGGAACGTTGATGATGCATACAATGAAAAAGAACTTAGGTGGGGTTGGTGGCCTTCTTCAAGATAAATCAAGTCAATCTTTTCTCATTTTTCCATTGTGTCAGCTCAGGGTATGCAGTATTGATGGAGATTCTTACTATCAAATTCGGGATTAACACCTTCATTGCATCGGAATGGTATGAGAAATTTAGTCTTATTATTGAGAATGGCTAAAAAATTGTATTCGATTGAATTTTGAACCCTGTCAGGACTCTTTCTCTTTATCTCTCTGAGATTCTATGCATATCTAAATTTATCTCAGGGGGTTGGTTGTCTATTCGACATATCCCAAGGGCTAACAACATTGAGGTTGATTCTTTATCTAAAAGAGGGATTGGATGAAGCATCTGAAAGGTGGATGATTTCTCTATTTTCATTTAACTTGTGTCTGCCGACTTTACTCTTTGGTGGAAAAGGCATCAGATTGCCTTAATGTCATTTCTTCTAGGGGCTGCTAATTTAGGATATATTTATTTTATGTGTTTCTATCATTTTGTTTTCCCAAGCCGTATGAAATGCCTTATCCAAGTTTGGTTAATAATATTAATTTCTGGTACTCTTTTCCTCCTTTCGCTTTTCGATATTGGATCTTTGTTTCTATATTGATTATGAAAGGGCTTTTTAATGAGACTCGTTTATCTTTCAAAAAAAATTGAAGGACCTTTTACTTCAAATAAAACTAGAATGAGCCCAAAAAATTCAAGGCTCCCATGCCTATGCACTAGAGGTACTATGGACTATGTTTACCACAAGCTCCCAAGCTATCAACAGATGATAATTGTATGAAGAGGAAAAAAACTGAAAGTTTGACAGTCAGTTTAGGAATGCTTTTGGCAATGGAAAAAATGATTTTTGGCCCCGTAAAAAATGCTAAACATCCAAAAATTGATTTAAAATCATGGTTGGAAAAGTGGTTTTAACCTAACCTCAATAGCTTAAATTTCTAACTTTTGTTGTGGAAAATCATTTTTGGAGTAAAATTATTTTTTATCCTCAAATCTATATTTTCAACTTACAACATAATGTCTAAAATGAATATTTTATCTTTTCAAAATCATTTTTAACAGTAATCTCAAATAGTTAAATTTTAAACTACACTTTTAAAAAATATTTTAAAAAAATACTTTTTTAAATCACTTTTCAAAAAGTAATATCAAAACCCTAAACCATTCACCTCAACATCCCTCACCTATAAACCAAAATGCATACTACCAAGCCACAATCATCTCAAAACCCTCTAAATAACCCTTAAATGTATGGATTTAGGGTTGATGACACTAGAAGTAAAATCAAAAACAAAAGTAAAAAAAATCAAAGTCCATCCTTATAAACACCTTTTTTCGAATTTATTCCCCAACAAATACCACTCCACTTAAACCTAAGCATCGCCACCCATTACAATCTACTATGTGAAACCGTAATGGCAACCAAGCCCCAAAAGCACCCAAACACGACCACTACCCAGAACTATCCTAATCTAAGATAAATCCTACAAAAAACAAAGTAAAAAAAATAAATAAGTTTGTGTCATCAGAAATCACAAAATAAAATTAAAAACTAATTTGTAACTTAAGAAAATTAAGACAGTACGTAATTAACGAAGCATATGTTTTAAGTGTCATCATATACTTTAACTTTTCTATAATTTACTCTTAAATCTATTTTTTTTTTTACTTTGATTAAAAATAAATATTTTTAAAACTATCTTTTTAAAAAGACTTTTAATTAAAAAATGATTTTATATATGATTAATCACAACTAGTCTAAAATAATCAATGACTTCAATATAAAAATCATTGTGTTTCTCAAATATTAAAACGTGTACATTTTCAAGGATTTTTTCTTTTAAATTGTCAAAATATAGTTTCAACACCCAAATTTAATACGACAAATTAACTCGACACCAATTTATTTATAAAATGATCAAATTATATTTATTTTAAACTATAATAAATATTATTTATAAAAAAACATTTCATCATATTTTCATATAATCTTATATAAAAGAACTAAAAACATTACTTAAAAAACGTACAAACAACATTTAAATTTGACATACTTTAATCACTCCATCTATAACCATTTTTTTGACTTTTTTTATTAATCTAGAGGTAATTATAAGTAGCATTTTTTCAAAAGTTTCTGACAATAAAAACTCAAACACATTTGTAGTATTTGAGCATGGATGTTAAAGACCGGAAAACAACTTCTTCATAAGGGATGTTGAGTCCCATGTCATGATCAAACCCGAACACTTCCTCTGCTCAGTGGAGCAAGCTATGGAACTCAGTTCAGGTCAAGAATGATATGGGTACAATATATTTGCTTCTGTTCAGGCTAATGTAGACGACGATGTGACCTCTCGACACGTCCATAGGGAGTCCTCCTTGTTCATCATCGTCGTAGCCTTGTTGTTGTTGTGTCTTTCCTATGCCGGAACATCATTTCAAGATTTGCTTTATGACGACTGTTTGTACCAGTTTGCTCAATTTCCTTGCACTCGGGCATGGAGAAGAGATTCACTACCTTGGTCGTACGATCCAACACCATGGATCGTTGCTTCAACTCCATGGAGAAGCATTGGAGCTTTACGTAGTGGTGACTTGTTCTCGATAATAAAACATTCGTTTTTTTTTTTTTTAACTTTTTGATATCTAGAATTTCCAAACAGGGTGAAAAGTGGGGTTTTGAGGATTAGGGAAAAAGTATGGGATATATTGGAGAGAGGGCTAATTAAGTTAAGGCTTATTATAAAAAGAGTTGTCCAAATTATACATTTTTTATTTAGGTGCCTAAACTTTTTTTTCGATCAATCCAAGTGTCTAACGTTATAAATGTTATCATTTTAAGTGCTTATGTCGTAACGATCGTTAAAAAATATCAACCACTTAAAATGCGACACATGGCAAGTTTATAAATTTTTGAAATTTTATTTTAAAAAATACTTAAAATTATTATTATTTTCCAAAAGGATTCAAAAAATTTCTAAAATTAAAAAAAAAAACAAATCATTTTTGCAACACAACTTTCCTTGTTGAGTTTCTGCGGCTTTTCTTACCCTATTTTTGCTCTTTGTATCCACGAATGGTGGAGAAATTAATCATATTTTGTCCAATTTTGTTTTCAGCATCCACGAATGGTGGAAGAATGAGAAACTTAGGCTTATCGGAAGTAATTTTAAAATTTAGAGATTATCGCTAGAGATTTGAGTATTGGGAATTTTAGAATTTAGGGGTTTGGTTCGGCAACAAAGACGATTGTAAGTCATTAGGTGGTCAACAACAGATGGTTGGCAATTCAACGGGTACAACGACAACCAAAGATGGTCGGCAACAATAAGATTGAGATTAAAGATTTTAGAGTTCTTTTAAGATTTCCAAAAATTTTGGTTTCATATATATATTTATTATTAATTTTAAAAATAGAAATTTCTAAACAGGACATGTATTACTTAATAGGGTTTTTCAACGATCGTTCCGATCGGAACACTTAAAATAATAATGTTTATAACATCAAACACCTATATTAACCAACAAGAGTGTAGGCACTTAAATGAAAAGAGTGTAATCACTTAAATGAAAAGAGTGTAGACACCTAAATGGAAAAAAAAAGTAGAGTTTCGACACTTAAATGAAAAGAGTGTAGATACCTAAACTTTCATTTGTTTCAAAACTATACCTATCATTTACTTTTTGTTTTATTTTAGTATCCCGTCGTTAAAAACTTAACGAACTGTTGTGCGCGTCATTTTTATGGGTAAATTACATCATTCATCACTTAATTATCTTCTCACTCCTATTTTGATCATTAAAGTTTAAAAAATTTTAATTTAACTACTCAACTTCCAAATTGCTCATGTTTGAATCACTCTAATTTAGTTTATTAGTAATTTTTGTGACATGATTTTTTTTATTTTATTAATATATAATTAAAATAAAAAAGTAAATTTGAAAGTTAGAGTGATTAAATTATGAGTACTTCGAAATTAATTAATTAATTAAAAAAAATTAAACTTCAATGACTAACATAAGAGTGAGAAGATAATTGAGTGATGAATAACATAATTTACCTATAAAAAATGTCATGATGTAACAATTGCACTAAGGTACCAAAAACAAAACAAAAAGTAAGATTTTAAAACAAATAAAAGTTTAGATACTAAAACGAAACATGACTTATAGTTTAGATATTAAACACATAATTCAAGTTAAATGGAGTTTTCAAAAGAGGAGAGAATCACATGGGTTGTGGGGACAAAGTTGAGAGGCTGCTACTAGGGGTGCACAAAAAATCCGAATATCCGATTTTACGAAAAAAATATCCGAAACCGGATTTGGGAAAAACCGATTTTTTTTTTACCGGATCGGATTTTTTTTAAACCTGTTATTTTAACCGATTTGGAGAAAAAAACCTAGACCGGTTTTTTTACCGGATAAAAAACCGGTTTTTATCCGGAAAAAAAAACCGGTCTGGGTTTAAAAAACTAACCGTTAATATAGCCGTTGGGAGGGTTTTGTGACCGTTTTTGACCGTTTTTTTCTTTAAAAAATTACCATTTTACCACCCTAAACATGTATAAATAGGTTGGGGATGTATTTGGTTGATTACAAATTTCTCAAATCTTATTACACAACACTTAAACATCTCTCAAATCTTACTTTTGTAATTTTTTGTTCATCATGAGTAACACGGCTGAATCTTCCGTCGGGGGAAACCTTGAAGTCGTGAGAGTGATCGAACACACTCGAAACAAAGACATTTGGGATCACTACGATTTATGTGAGATGTCAAATGGCTCGAGGAGGGCGCGTTGTAAACTTTGTCTAAAGTTTCTTGCATCGGAAGGAAACACAACGTTGAAGAACCATTTGACAAAATCATGCAAGGCACTTCGCTCAAGATCAGATCCTAGTCAATCGAATCTTACACCGCAAGGTGGTGTTTTTGTTTACGACAACGAAAAATTACGAGAAGCGTTTACAAAGTTCGTGATTACAAAAGCATTGCCGTTCGACCTCTTTGATGATGAAGATTTCACGATAACAATTCAACAACTAATGCAACCACGTTATACTCAAGTAAGTCGTACTACCCTTAGAAGAGATGCTATAAAAATGTGGCGTACGGCGAGGGAAAAAATGATTTTAGGATTCCAAGAACACCGTTATGGTGTGTCGTTTACATGTGACGTTTGGAGTTCCCCTCATAATACCGGAAATTCTTTTTTAGCCGTTACGTCACATTGGTTAGATCAAGATAATTGGCAAATGATGAAAAGAACAATCGCGTTTGAATTATTCGGTGAGCCGCATACCGGTGCTAATTTATTTACACTTTTAAAAAGGGTAATTTGTCTTTATAAATTAGAAAATAAAGTTTTTTTCTATATCCTTTGATAATGCATCGAATAATACAAAAGCGGTTCCAAGATTGAAAATATTACTTTCACCGATTTTAGACGGTGCGTTTTTTCATACCCGTTGCGTTGCACACATAATTAATTTATCCGTGCAAGCCGGTTTGGAGGTTATTGAGCCGATTAGATTAGAATTTAAAACAATGATAAAATCGGTTCTTTGTAACAACAACAAAAGACTAAATGATTATAAACGATTTTGTAAGTCCGTTAATAAAAACTTGGGTCCTAATTTGGATTGTCCAACTCGTTGGAACTCAACTTGGATGATGATGCATACTGCCTTAAGGCAAAGGGAAACATTGCAAACATTTCACGATCGGCTTTTCGAGAGGGGTCATGTCCCAAACATTTATCCAGATTCGAGTTGGGAAACTATAGCCAAAATAACCGATTTGCTTGAGGTTTTTAAAAATGCAACAACTTTTTTATCCGGTGTTTATTACCCTACTAGCCGTTGGTTCTTAATCAAATATTTTTGTTGGCTACCCGACTAAATGACTTTGAATTTGAAACCGAAGTTTTTCAAGAAATTGGCTTTGCAATGAAGGAAAAACTTTTAAAATATTTTAAGGAGAATCCCCCCATTTTTACTTGTGCCGCCGCTTTAAACCCAACGTTAAATGTTGGTGGGGTTGAAACACTAATTGAACAAATTGCGTTTGCTTTTAATCTAACCGATGATGAACCCAACTTTGTCCAAAACCAAATAAATTATTTTAACAAATGTTTTCGAGACATGTTTGCAATTTATTTAACTAAATACGGATCAAGTAGTGTAATACACGATCAAATGAGAATGAATGCGGAATCATCTAGTAGACGTCCAAGTAACATAAATTTGAATCTTTTTAACACTCTTGTAAATTCTCAATCCAAACGATCACGTACTACCACCCCAAGTAGCGAGTTGGGAAATTACATGTCATGCGATTTTCTATCAAAAATGACATTTGAAGAGTTTGAAAGTTTGGATATTTTGGCTTGGTGGAAAGAAAAGGAAGCACAATTTCCGATTCTAGCCGCCATGGCCCGTGATTTACTAACCGTCCAAGCTTCTACGGTAGCTTCGGAATCCGCTTTTTCTGTTAGTGGCAGGGTTATATCGCAACGGAGATCAAGACTAAGTCCGAGTCGGTGGAAGTATGCATTTGTTTAAAGGATTATTTGGATGGAGCGGCTCGTAAGCAACATATCACACCCTAGAAGATGCAATTGATACCGATTTGGAAGCAAACTTACATTGATGAAGTCGAACTTGGAATATCCCCTCCAAACGAAGAAGGCGAAGATGATGAAGAAGAGATGGCAATGTAGTTTATTTTATAACTTTATTTCAATTATCGTAAACTTTGTTTCAATTATCGAACTTGAAGTTTTTAAGTATTTGAATTTATCGAACTTGGAAGTTTTTAAGTATTTGAATTTATCAAACTTGGAAGTATTTAAGTATTTCAATTATGTTGAGTTAATTAAGTATTTCAATTAAGTATTTGAATTTATCGAACTTGAGGTTTGATGCTTTCTCTTTGATTCTCTCTTGATTCTAGTTGCTTGATGTTTCTTGTCTTTGATCAATGGCTTCTAAGCTTGCTTAAATACACCTTGAATCACTTCTGAACATTAGTAATAATTAATGAAGATAATATAGCCGTTTAAGTGTGAAAACATTTAATAAAAATGCTTGGAGCGTGGGGGAATCGGTACCCTCTCATAGAGAATCGATTTCCTCTCATAGGGAATCGGTTCCCTAAGTGTAAAATTCAAATATTTCGACCGTTGAATAGGGGGGAATCGGTACCCCCTATGGGGAAATCGGTTCCCTCCGAGCATTCTGGAAATCTCGAAGCCAAACCATTCAGTGAGGAATCGGTACCCCTTGGGGGGGAATCGATTCCCTATGAGCAATCTGGAATATTAAAATCGATTTTTTTATAACCGGTTTTTTTAAAAAACCGGTTTTTTTAAAACCGAAACCGGTTACACCGGTTAGGATATCCGGCCCTCCAAACCGGTTAAAAACCGAACTGATTATTTTATAAACCGGTTTTTTTCTATGAGAAAAAACCGGATCGGATAAAAACCGATCCGGATCGGATTGAAATCCGACAAATGTTCATCTCTAGCTGCTACCAGTGCCGCAATCTGCACTTGTTTTTCTTATTTTTTATACTTTGATATTTGAGTGATCGAGAAATCAACGAGCCTAAAGACACATGATTACATAAACCAAGCATCTTCAGATTAGTTTATTTTCTTTGATTGTTCTTGATTAAAACTAGAAGAGGACTTGAGAGTCGGATTAATTACCAACGGTAAAGATGAACAACCTATGAACGGGATGGTGGAAAAGTTCAGGTCGAAGAAAAGCATATTCAAAAAATATGTAAACTAAAAATTTATCATTAAACTACTTTAAATTTACAAAAAGCCCTATAGTTGTATTATATTTAAAAATCAAGAATTGAAAGAAAAATTAACCTTTTTTTATAAGCGTGTCACATTATCAACTTAACGGTATTCAACATATTATTGACCAAAACTTAATAAAATGATACATTAAGTGATCAAAAATTTAATTTTTTTTTAATTTCATAAGCACAAGTGAAAGGCTGTTGTTTTTTCAAGCCAATCCACACTGCAAGACCTAATAGGATATCAGGGAGTGTTTTTTCAAACTACTCATTTTGAAGGCTGCTGTTTGTTCCAGCAGAATAGGCACTCCCAGGGACATTGACTAGAAGTTCATCCTCGGGTATCTCCTCGATTATCTCAAAGGGTCCGTTATCCTGAAATGAACCAAATTGTAAATGCATAACGCCTAAAATACGATATTTCAGTTTTTACCATAACCATCATCTTACAAACTTTTTTTTTCAGGCTGGAACATGTTATAACATAGAAATGAACAGCATCTACAAAAACAGTGTAATTTTAACCCTTGCCCGAATACCTTTCCACAAGAAGCATTGTTTTCTTTATTCTGAGCATTTTTAAGGTCAGCCATGATGGCTTTAAGTTTTTTCTTTGCTTTGGTTCGCATTGACCGTCGTTCAGCACATTGTTCTGCAGTAACAACAGCATGACAAGCCACACAAAGAGTCCTCATATTCTCTAGCCTGCATTCACCTGAAATTTCGGATACAGCATAAAACCAAAATCAAGCTCAATTTAACAGAATAGCAGTAAAACAAGTAGTTAAGAAGAAGAAAGCCCTAGAAAAAGCATGTTCATGAACAATAATATACCTCCCCCTCTATAAACAGGGACAATGTGGTCCGCATGCCATGCATTGCCCTCCGAAGGATCACTAACAAGCTTCTCAACCCTGCAAAAGGTATATTAGGAAATTGGTTCACAGAAAATACTGTGATCTGGAAAGTAACAGTGAATGACTCAACTTATGCGGACATTTTCCCACATAGTTATTCAATACTTGATATGTCTTGGAGATTTCTTTACATGAAACCTCAAACTGTCACTGCATAATTTTCTACAACAAAGTATTCTGCAGTAATTAGGAAACTAGCATCGGTAACTTATCCTGATTGACATACAAGATCTTCTGACTTGCAATCTTTGGTGCAACTCTGTTTACATACTCCTGTCGTCTCTCTAACGATAAAGGTTTTAAGTTCTTCACAAGTTTATGGCAGTCTAATTGGCAATTTGTGCAGATACCATGCTCAAGTTGAAAAAGTTCCTGGAAATTTTGAGTTATCGCATAAAGCATGCACTTAAAAGGGGAAAATTCGAAAGATAGATAAAATGGTCTAGTAAACATTGTGACCAAACCTCACGGAGGAATCTGTTGCTAGTTCTTAGGCGGTATTCTTCGTAGCAGCCAATATTGCAAAAAAGGTCCTCAAAATATTGAGGAATCTTGGCATTTATCCCCCTGAAGACATAAAGAAAGCAAGTGATATATGAGACGAATGGTACAACAAGAGAAGAGTAATTAGTTCTTACTCGCATTGTTTTTGGCAGAGTTTGCAAAGTGGTTCATCAGTCAGGGTCCAACCCTGAGTGTACTCTTTCTCCTTTTTATTGCAACTACGCCGCAGATGGACCTGTTTCCAGACAGCATTGGGAGGTAAAGAAACATTTAACTCACAAAAAGGTGTAGTACGCCGCTTGCTCCGACCTTTCAGCAGTCCCTGCAATAGAAATATAAAGCAACGCCTTAAGTCATTCATTTATGTAATAAAGAAGATATCCCAGAGCAGAATACATGTTAATTTAGACATACCCCACTGTTATGGTTAATGCTTTCCTTCAAGTAGCATAATTCAACAGACAAAGGGAGTTGCAAAGGCTTTCCACGTAATTTTCTTTGTTCAATGGGTCTCAGTTTATTCCATTCATCAATGAAGGCTAAAAGAGCATGCCTATAGGCTGGATTGACCTTGAAATATTTGCAAACTGTGTCTTTATTATCGCTCGCAAGAGCATTTTCTAACTCGATTTCCTCTTGTCGGAAATTCTCGAACAGCGGCACTGGTCTCAAATCTTTCCCTGGGATGCAAGAATACAAGTGGATTCTTCCAGTATATTGGCTTACCTACACATTAAAAGTACAATATCACTGTTGCAGACAAGAAACCCACCAGATTTGTATATGATTGCATTGTCATTTAAACTGTTGATCGCTAACAATACCATCATTGTTGAGACCTAGATTCAGACATCTATTTGAGAGAAGGGGGAAATTTTCAAGTGATTTTTTTTTATCTCTAGAAAGAGACGATTTCTCCTAGAGAATTAAGGATGTATGTGGGTGAAGCACTAATAGGAAGTTGCATAAATCTAAGAGAATTTCAATAAAAATGCATAACTCCAGACGATTTGACTGTCCTTTGATATACTATGTAGACTGCTATAATAAGTAGCCAACTACTTGCTATCATTATAATTGATTTTGGGACAGATTTTGGCAACTAATTTGCAAATCTAGCTTGGATTGCTTCCTTGTTTGACATATTGAATGGGACGACTATAATTATTCTTTGTTCTCTGGAAATGCCATAAATTTTATAGCATAAATTCTGAAAGAATTCTATCAAATAATTTTGAACTACCATAAAATCAGTGAAATTAAGAAACAAGTCACCATGTTAATATCTGTTTACATGTCTACCACAAACAAAGACTACTCAAAGAGAACAATTTGAAATGGAGAAAATTGTTATCGATTGCCCAGGGTGAGCAAACAACTAGAAAGTTTTGCTTAATGCAAAATAAACCAAGATCTACAATTAGGTACTAGTTTGTTTACCTCAAACCGCAGACAACCAACTTGAATAAAACATTCAGAGTCTGATGGCTGAACCTGTGAACCATCATCTGTTGTAATTTTGTGTCCCTGCATTAACATCAAATTTGAATTAGTTATTTTAAGTCAAAATCTAAAGGACGGAATCATTTTGCTATATTGAGAGAAATTTTCAATTAGATACCTTTGGCATATCATGATATTTACTTCTGTTATCCGTTTTAAAAGGGGATATGCCACAAATTCCAATTTCATCCACAAAAGAATGCAATTCTTTTTCGTCTTCCATGGAGCTAAGATTTTGATTTATTTGTAGATCAAGAACCACACCACCCTATATTAACAACGAAAGCATCATTAGCTTGTAATAAAGTGGAAAAATGCTCAAAAGTAAACAGGGAGGGGGAATAATTCGCTTGATCGGGGGTGGGGGACTAAGATTTTGGTTTATGTGCTTGGTCAGAGGAAGCTCAAGTATGCAAGTTAACCATTCCAGTGAAATTCCTTCTAGTAAAATATAAAAGAAAAATAACTTTTTATTCTAATAATGTTGAAGTTTTACATCATCATTATGATTGTAGATATCACCAGTTTGATTCCTTGTGTCAGACTCAGATCTGTCATTCATTTCAGCAGTGACATCCGAAAAGGCTTCTGAAGGCCGTAAATCCTGGGAACATTCAGGGTCTTGCAGCTGCTTTAAGTCCAGTGAAAATTTTCTAGGCGGATCCTTCATCAAAATCTTTTTCTTACAATTTCCATCAGGGGTTACCAGATAGGAAATGCCTTCAACCTACCAAACCAGAAGAATAAAGTTTGATCTTTTAGAAAAGAATTATGAAACCATATGACGCCAGCTAAACAAACAACCAATAAGTAATGCATCTTACCAAATATGCACATGCACACGTATATCATGATCGGAATGGGGAAAATGAAAATAATTCTATGCAACATGCCAGTCAGGTGAAGTTATCAAAACAAATTCAACTCTGTCAAAGACTGCAAAAACACTGATAAATAACCATCTGCAGTATAATATTTAATAGGAGTTTGACTGTGTAAGGCTAAAGCACTCTGATGCAACTTATTGCACACAACAAATATCAGTAGCCACCATGTGCTTCACAGGCATGAGCAGTCAAAAGAAATCATATAATCCTGATATCTCCTTACCATAGTCTGAAATGTGTTGGATATCTACGAATTGGTAAAAAAAAAAAAACTTAAAAACGGTGCAACCAAACAATGCCAATTACACCTGCATCTTTTCCATACTTCTCATTTTAAGAAAGAATCTAAACTCTGCACTATACATCCCACAAACAAATATATAGTAAAAATATTTTTTTAATAAAAAGAGTGGTCCATAAATAGTAAGTTGCCACTTTTATTGAGTAGTGGAAGGAGCAGAGAAAGAGTACATACTTCTATCTCTCTCATCGCATCATATTTTCCATTTGTTGTGGATGAAACACGGTGAAGACTCTTGTTTAGATTTCGCCAATGTGACTCGTCCAAAGTATCCTGTAGTATGAGAAAACTATAAATCACATAAAAAATTAACAGCAGACAAATTTGAAGAAAACTTCTGCTATAATATATGCACACACACCTTTGCACAGAAGATGTAAATGTTGACCGCACCTGTCTGCCCCCGCCTGTGAGCTCTATCCTCAGCCTGTAAGAGACAAGGATGGAAGGGGAAGTAAGACTTCAAGTTTGAGCAACCAAAAGTATATGTTTATAAAGCTATGGAGAAGATAGGTACTTAAGCAAATTTGGGATTAAACAAGATAAAACTAGTAAAAGATAGTAAGAGCTCTCTATTCCCCCCTCCCTCCTTTCTGAGACAGGGTTCACAGAAATAAAGTTAAAAAAACTCCAATTCCACAACCTTAATTTTTTTTTTAAGCTTTCTTTTTCAATTACCAGAATTGAAAATGTAATTTCAGGAATGGAGACTTTAATCAAAGCATTCAAGAGGATAATCATCTAGAATCCAGATCTCTTTGCTTGTCTATCTTTCTCTCCAACAAATCTCATTGGACATATGCATTAAGAAAAATGCAGAAATGATTAACTACTTTTGTGCTTCAACTGACACTTTAATCTAGCACAAAATTTTATGCGAATCATCACTTTTCAGCTCTTTTAGTAGCATCAATTATCGTGCCATAAAATCTAGCAAACAGTGCTTACCGGATGACTTCTCTTTAAAATATTTACTTCAATTTTATTTGTAATCTGCCTTCACCAATTTTTTTTTTATAGGAATTGCAGGCTTCGTTAAAGACCCCCTTCTTGATTAATGGAGCTTTGAATGGAAGCTCCTTAATTAGCGGAATGAGGAAAAGAGTGCCTTAAACATTTTATTAATCATAAGAAATTACATAAGATTTAACAACTCCATACTGGATAACATAAAGCTTAAGAACTCTACGAACAACATAAACCCACTAATAGAAACAGGAAAAACCACTGATGAGACCATACTATCAACCAATCCCCTTCTTTGCTAAATTGTCTGCCTCCCCATTACAAGCCCTAGGAATCAACCTAACTGAATGCACCCTATCAGAGATGAGTGAAGAAATCTCTTTAACTAAAGGCAATAAAAAAACAGGAGCCAAAGCCGAGAACTGAATCCATTCAACTGTAGACTTACAATCACTCTCGACAATCAACCTTCCAATAGAAACCCAACAAGAAGACAAAAATATTTCAATGCCTCTCTTTATAGCCTTTAACTCAGCAACTGGGGGGGACCTTGGCCAACATTTTCTGAAAAATTCAGGAGAGTGTTGCCTTTCCAATCTTTTAAAATACCTCCATCCGAGTCATCTAGTCTTACAGCTCCATCAACATTCATCTTCAAAAAGTCTACAGGGGGTGGGATATAGCGAGTCACCTGACAATCCTTTAATTTATGAACTTGAATACCATCTGCAAGAGACGGGTCGCCTATCAGCACATCCTCCTAAATAGGACATTTAGGGTACTTGGCTAGAAACCATTTAGATAACCTGAATCTAATAATGAAAAACAGAGACTGTCTGTCAAGAGTAGATCCTTCGAACACCATTGCATTCCTAACTTTCCAAATAGACCAAAATACGACTCCCGGAATAAATTTTCAAATCAACGATTTCACCCTCAACTCACCCCAACAGCTGAGCAATGAAGGAGGGTCCTTTGGAAAGACTAGGACTAGATCCCAAAAGCTTGTTGTTTTGTTCCACAATTTCCATACTACATAACATGAAATAAACAAGTGTTGCACTAATTCCTCGTGTTTCTTACAAAAAGGACAAAGGATATCATCACCTAGCTGCATTCCTCTGTTCACCAATTATGTTCTTACTGCCACTTTCTGATGAGCTAGCTGCCATAGGAAAGCTTCGACACGAGGTGGTGACAATCCCAACCACACCCCTTTTAACCACAAATCAGAGCCCCCAGACTCCCTCCTGAATGCATTTCTGCAAGATTTTACCGAAAACTATCCATCACCACTTGCAGACCAAGATAGAAAGTCTTCTACTGAATCTGACAGTTTAAAATCCTTCAGTTTTGTCATCAAATCCATCCACTGATCCAATTCCCAATCACACAGATTACTTCTTGTTTGAATATTCCACACTCAACCGTTCAATTCAAAGCTGCTAAATTCAGCAACCTTGCCCCATTTATTTGGTGATAGCACGTATATTCTAGGAAAAAGATTTTTTAAAGGAAGCTCATCTACCCATGCATCTGTCCAAAATGAAATAGACTTTCCATTACCCACTTTCAACTTTGAATATGATCTTAAGCAATCACCCTCTGAATCATTCTTCAAGAAATTATTAGCAATGCCTCTCAAAATCCAGGAAGATTTGGGAGAAAAAACCTTCCTAATAGACATGGTATTGCAACTAACCTTGTGCTTGCTACATAACACGCTTTTCCATAAAGAATTCTTTTCATTGGCAAACTTCCACACTCATTTTCCCAATAGAGCCCGATTAGAAATATTCAAGTCAAGAACACCAAGACCAACTGAATTCAAAGGCTTGCAAACTGTATTCCAATTCACCCAGTGTATCCTCCTCTTTTCCTCATTACTCCCCCCCCATAAAAATCTGGCCATTAAAGAATTTAACTTCATACCAATTTTGCAAGGCATTTTAAAAAGTGATAAGAAAAAAATTGGTAAGGATGTTAACACCGACTTCAATAAGACTGTCCTGCCAGCTAACGAGAGACAAGAAGCTTTCCACCCGGCAAGTTTGGAACTAAGGTTCTTAAATACTGGATCCCATAGGCCTTCACCAATTTGAAAAAAGAAAAAAATTCCCTTTGCAGTCAATAAAAAATAAAAAAATAGATTAGAAAAGAAAAAACAATGGTTTAAACGAAAAACAAAAGAACAAGTCAGTTGGTAACTCAAAACAGGGCCACAGAAATCTGAAACTCCTAGCAGCACTAAAAAAGCAGTGCAAGTGCAGTAACCTTGTGAAGATAGATTGTTAGGTTTGAACTTAGAAACTCGACCCCTAAATATTTATACATTTTACACCATTCTACACAAAAAATTCATTGCATTCCATTCTTTGATGCGACTATATTGAGTAGTGGCTATTATTCAGAAAAACTAGCAAATTCTGATATGCATAAACCTGTAGCATCAACGATGGTGACTGAGGCAACTCCAGGAACACAACATGTTTTGCTGATGAAAAATCAAGTCCAACACCCCCAGCAGTTATTCCAATTATTGCAATTTTTACCTGATGAATGAGGCTAGATATTGTCAGTACAATACAGGTAAAAGAAGCTTGGCTGCAAGTAAGAAAATGGCCTCTTAAGTAACGTCTGCCACACTAGAAAATAATATATGACATGCATGAAAAGATTTGTTTCAGTTCAGGTTTTTGCAGATTTTTAAGTATCCAGGGAAGTGCAGAACACAAAATAGTTGCGTGGACAAAATGATCACTGGAGTGAAGTGATCATCTTTCAGTTAGAAAATTGAATTCTAAATTAAACTAGTTTTTCCACTATTTCAAAATGCATGCATAAAAACCCTAAATTAACAGAGACTATCAAAGAAAAGGAAGACATAACATCAGACAGAAAAATCTCATAGCAATATAACCACTTTGGGAGATCCAATTTTCACATTACATGAGTCATGCAGTTTAATCTTTTGAATGTGTGTTTAAGCTAGATAAGAATTTACAATTATGCAAACCTCAAACGACAATATGGTCAATAAAGACAATCGAAGAAATTTCATAAACAAACAAAAGGAATATCAACAAAAGGAAAAATGTTACACAAACCTCATTCAGTGATTGGAATGAATGTACAGCTGATTGTCGATCTTTTGGTAGTGTGGTTCCATCAATACGGACAAAACTAATTCCTTTCTCACATATGAAATCCTGGACAATTCAAAACAATGATATTTCTCATGAATAGTCGAGAAAAGGAAAAAAAAAGACAAAGGCTTATAAACCTTATTTTAAAGTTAGTAAGGTGTCATCATGAATATAACCTACGAACACAATAGTATTCAGATGGCTACAGAATAAATAAACATTGAAATAAAAATCTTTTATGTGTAAGAAGATGTGACTTATATCTCCATCAAAACTAGCAGAAATTAATCTTGACAAAAGATTGCAATTCCCTTTTTATTCTAAAATAGAAAGTGATTAAGTAATAAGTACATAGATTCATGTTGACAACCTAATTGTTCTTAATTTTAGTAATATTGATGCCGTAGCATCATCATCAATGAGACAAAAATAATCTATCGTGCACAAGTTCAAAGCATTTAAAGATATAATCAGATCTTTCCCCTTTTTTGTCTTTATCAATCCTGATAGTAATCTTTGCACAATTAAGGATGCATCTCCAATATCCCCTTAGATGTTAGTCCAGTGAACGAAGGGCTTCTTATACTTACCTGTATTCCATCAAGAACTTTATGATGATGGGCAAAAATTATCATTTTTTGAGAACAGGAGTTTAAATCAAATTCTTCCGATCCATCTGGATTTGAAGTAAGTTGGTGAATAGAAAACCATTCACGAAATCCACGAAGCTTTGCAACACCGAGCTCTTGATAAGAAAGTTCACCGGCATTGCAATTGTTAATGGCATCTGGAAGCAACAGAGGGCAACATATAACTAAGAAACTATACTTCTATATTGCTATCACTATGAAATACTTATGACATCTAGCACAAGAAAAAAAACTTGCAACACCAGCATATGAAACCAAACAAGAAATTAATTATATTCACTTCCTATTCATGTAAGTTTTCTCATAACCGTTCAATTAATCAAAGATTTCTAAGCATACATTCTATAAAATATATATCAGTTATAGGTAATTGTGTCTTTATAAATATAATGATGCAGAAAATAAAAAGATAGAGAAAATCACTAGAAAACCAAAGACTTTAAAAATATTACAAAAGTTGAGGTAAATTTCTACACCTCTTTTTCAAACATCTAAATAACCTCCATGATCAAAAGCTAACAAAAATTGAACTAACATATGTGTTTATTGGCTATTTCCTAACTCCTATGCAGTATACATGACAAGACTAGTTAATAAACAACCTAAAATTGTAATTGAATTTGCAATCTAAGCACAAGAAAATGTAAGATTAGTTAAATAGACTCTACTCATAAGCATAACATGATTTTCAAGAATGAATTAAATTAAGAGTACACAGTCTTACGTGAAACCACACTAAACAGCTTTGGTTGCATTAAAATAAGAATATCTTCAAAATACGGTGAGAAAAATAGAAATAGAAGATTTCATCCTAAATCGAAAAGGACTAGAAAGCATCTTTACTGAAAGTAAAACCCCACAGTTTGAAAAGGACAGGAAGAAAAAATCACTCAACATCTGACTCTCTCTATTGTGACCAACATTAAGAAGACAAAAGAAAAGAAGAAAAAGGAATTCTTCATGTATTGACAAAATTCTACAAGAAAAAGAAAGGGAACATGCTCGTTCTAGGTTTAGATGATGATGCTCTATGTGAAACAAAATCCAATTTCTAATTCTTATAACACATGAGAAAGTGCCTCAATTCTAGTAAACATAATATATGTAATGCACCTTAGGGACTGCAGCTTATACAGTATAGGCTTACAATAAATAATCGTATGCCGTCAACATGACATATTCAGTATATTCCACAGGCATATGCAACAAAATATGCAAAACGGTCATGTAGATAAAAATTTCATCATTTATCCAAGCAACATGTATTTGTTAAAGCAGAAAATGAATAATAAGGAATCCGTATAAGTGGCTTAAATGGTGCAAAATACTGCCGAATCCTCTGCTGCTTGATATAAGCTTTGTTTTGGCATATCCAGCAACTAATCAAAAAAAATGACATCAATGTTTCTGGAGTTTGACACTATCAAAAGTAGGCATAGAGGAGAGAATCCGTATAAGTGGCTTAAATGGTGCAAAATACTGCCGAATCCTCTGCTGCTTGATATAAGCTTTGTTTTGGCATATCCAGCAACTAATCAAAAAAAATGACATCAATGTTTCTGGAGTTTGACACTATCAAAAGTAGGCATAGAGGGAGAGAAAACTAACATGTAGGATTGCCTTACAACATTGAATATTCTCACATACAACACATATAAAAAGGTCCATACCACGGTTTCCACCCAGGTTTTCTGTAGCAATATCTTTGGAAGCATTATTTTTAAAAGCATCAGCATTGGAAAAACTGACAGTTGCCTTGGCTGAAGCTATATCTGATCTCTTCAAATGCAACCTTATAAGCTGGCGACGTTTGGGAGGTAACTGGACCAGCACATGCTCCTTCAAGCGTCTTATCTGCAATTGGCCAGCATCTATCGCCACATGAGTAACTAAAGTAAAATAAGCGTAAGAAGTACAAACACCACATATTTATACTTCGATTTGGATTACTATTTAAAGCAACAGTTAATTCAAACACCACAAATATTTATACTTCGATGTGATTTACTATTAAAAGCAACGGTTACCGTCCAAACATCATATCATGCATGACTACATTATAATAATCGTGAATTAGGAATGTAATACAAGTGAATTATAGTGTAGGATGAAACCAAAATTCTAAATTTGGAATGATGGTATAAGCCATCAATAATATTTGAGGCACACTTTTCCTCCTTCCGCTGATTAAGGAATTCCAGCAGGCGTTCCTTTAATCATGAAGGGGGTTTTTAACGAGGCCTCCTCTTCTTATCAAAAAAAAATCTAGAAAATGGTATAAGCCAAATTTGTTCTAATGCCCATATTTAAAGCACACTTGCACCTTGGTGTTTTGGTGTTCCTTCATCCAAAACAATGACAGACATAGTAGTAAAAGAATGGCCTGCATAGTATTCTTTTAATAAAAAGACTTAGCAAATAAAAATGGCAATTTGAAACTGAATAAAACTTCCAAATAAGAACATTCACATAAAGATTCTCTTGAACTACATAGCAGAATGGAAATCCATATTCAAATTTGAATGATTAGAATGTAGGATGCGAGATTAACATTTTCGTCAACCATAACTACAACTGAATCCTAACAGGTTGAATGCTTGATACACCAAAAGAAATTTATTCTTATAAAATGAGTGGACTGACCAACTAATAGCTTAAATAGAGCACAATAGTGAAATTACATCCACAAAACCAACCCCTACGTGGGAGAACCTTCTCTGGTGAGCAGTCAAAATAGTTTGCATTAGGATCTGAATTCTTGCTTGATACAATGACGGCCTAAAATGGTATATGCTTAAAAAGAGGTATACTGACGTTGCTTTTTGCCTCAAAAAATTTGATAGTAATCAAGCGAAATGTTATGTGCATGAGAACCAAGGACACACCATGACTGTTTGGCTAAGTAACACATTCAACTCTTCCAAGCGAACACCCTTTGAGAAATCCTGCAAGACAACTCCATCAAATGTATTAGACTTTCGTGCTAACAATCAGGCCCAAAAATTAGATGTTGATGAATAAATAGAACTTAGCACCACAATCCTTGTCTTATATAGCTAACAAATCAGACAACCAAAACAAACTACAGCCACTAGGGCTATACTTATGCTACAAATAAAAACTTTTTAAGAAAAAGAATTGCAGAACTAGCTTATTAAGAAAAAAAATTGCAGAAAAACGTAAAAAACTGCATCACCAAAAGCAATTTGCTTTTTTAGGGAAATTTATTAAGCACCAGTAACTTAATCTCAATCATAGAAAAAAAATTGGACGAAACTAAATTGTGTTTCTTGAAAGACTGCTCAAATTTTGACAGAAAAAAAATGTTCAAATGTTACCTTAAAACCTTGAATGGTCTGAGCAAAATTGAGATCACAGTAAGTTTCTGCAAACTTGTACTTGGTCTCTCCCAACAAACCAGGCCTATACAGAAGCATGGTAAACAAATTTCTAACAAACCTAGAAAAACGCAAGATGCTTAAGTGTAAAGAAAGCTTACCACAAAATATTTATTTGATGAAAAATGTCGTATGGCCTATATTGGAGAAGTAGGATATTAGAATGTGCTAATAAAAGCAACAATAAGATAAGAAAGATGTCAAAGGTAGAATTACAACTAAAAATGATTAGATACATATTATGTCCATGATAAACTTAGTATGAAACGGATGATGATGGTGCTATTTTGCTTCAACCTTGATAAAGAAGGTGTTCCTGATAAGAGAACTATACGCCTGACCTTCTCTGCCAAATCGAGAACTGTTTGTATCTGTTATAAAGGACATGTGCCACTATTTAGTACATGATATTGAACACTAAAATAAACAAATGATATAACTCATAATGTTACAAGTCATGTGCATCTCCCGCTCTCTAGAGAGTTATTATCTGATCTAATCCAATAGAATTATCAGGTTTTAGTCCAAACAATTGAATAACAAGTCGAACATATAAACTTTGATTAAAGCAAGGGACACATTTACCTCTCCGGATTCTGATGCTTTTCGTGAACACCGTAGATGGTGGGATTCATCAACAATTAATAAAGCCCATTCATGTTCAAACATGGTCTTCCTCAAGTGCTGAAGCATTGTAAAAGAAATAACCACAACTCTAGGACATTTGCTTAAGTATGCAGGATTATCCCGATGACCAAAAACTGAAGTTCAACAGATAATAGTGATAAAAATAAAAACATTAGTCCAACCACCACAGAGATTCAAAATTTCTAGATGTGAAAAAGGAAAAAAAACAAAGAAATATGCTTCAATTACTTGTCAACATAAATATCAGTATTTTGCATCGGCAAAACTCTAACATAATACCTGAGATTATTTAAGTAAAAGAGATTAATTTTACATCTACTCTTTTTCAACTATCAAAACAAGTCTTTTTCCATTGTTTGAGGACAGCTATATGGCTCATATATGCATCACCATGCTAAACTTATTATCATGTCCAATATAGGCTTAGTTTGTATTGAAGTCCTTTTACATGGTTATCAACCATATCATTTTGGCCTTTTCCTTCCTCTCTCTCCACATGGTTTTCCTCCATTAACTTACACTTTCTTACAGATTTTTTTAGGTTTTCAGTTCTCCTTTAGCATGCTGCAACCACTTTCACATGTTAGTCGCTTTACAAAATAAAATGGGAAAAAAATATTAACTAGTTGCAAACTTCTCATTATTCTCTAACAATAAGAATTCTATGTATACTTCCCTTATAATTTATAGGTATTTTAGGTCATTTTCCTTAACTGATAACTTCACACAACAGTATGATAGCAATCAAGCAATAGGTTATAGAAGACGCATTGATCTGTGGGATGATATTGACACGGCACTGATGTGAAATTTGTATATCAAATTTTCAAAAATGTTATTTAAGTGGCACTGTTCACACTTCAGAATGCTACGCTAAAATATAAATTGAACGTAACTACTTTTAAAGGTTCCGGAAATGGGCTTCACTTGAGTATTTATACGGTTTTCATCTTTTTTAGATGACATTGTCCTGTCAGAGACTTCAAGGAACCTAATGTCAATGATATACATCTAGTTGTTAGGGCTGAATGTTGGAGAACCTACCTAAGCTCAAGGGCAGTGCTACATCAAGCTTTTGTGATCAAATTATAATGAAAAAAGTTTTATTTTTTTGAATGCTGACCCTACCTAACTTACATAATATAAGAAAAGGGTCAATGAGGATTACACATTCTTTTTGTTATGGAAATTGAATTCAACCCCAAATCTTACTGAACTATTAAAATTGCCTAGAGTTATCTCTTTTAAGGATATTAACTATATAAACTATAAATGATTGACAATGAAACATATGCTCTCAAAACACTCTTTGGGAAAGAATACAAACAAATCAAAGTTTACTTTAGTATATCTTCAATTATTTGCATTCCTAACAAACACCCAAATTCCTCCACTCCTAACCCCAAGAAAGTAAATTAGAAAAAAAGATGGAATGTACGCCAAATATTACCAAGATGTATATCAGAGGGTAAACAAAAGGGTAGCCATCGCTCTAATTCTTCTGCCCATGAATAACGCAAAACAGCAGGGCAAACAACGAGAATAGAACCTTCATTCATGAAACAACCAGCAATAGCAATAGCCTGAACACAAGTCAGAAACATAAAACTAAACTTAATTTTAATGCCATCTGAAAACAAAAAACAAAACCTGAGGGGTGAAACAATCTCCCAAGTTTATACAGTATCAGGAATTATACTTTCTTAAAAATTTACATATATTGCCCATTGCACTTAAGGGAAAATATTGCATGTTGGTTGGCAAATGTATTGATAGCATATACCACACAATATAAGTACAACACTTTCTTTGTTAGGGAACCAAGTCAGTACAGTTTTATTATAATTATTACTATTTTTTTTGTTTTGGGGGGGGGAGGTTGTTCATTTTCATCCATGCAAATGGATAAACACCTGCCTTTTTTATCATTTGTAGATTTTACAAAATAATACACCCAAAGGGAAGCATAGATCATTGTACCATACAGAAGCTGGAAAAGATTCAGGCATAGAGGGCAGCCATGAAGCCACAATCATAATTCACGTCAAGCCATTAAAAGCACACAGAACATCATACTTATACAATTACCTGGAGTGTTTTCCCAAGCCCCATTTCATCTGCAATTAGACACCGACCACCTCGTCGCAAGCCAAATTTGATACCTTCAAGTTGAAAAGGGAGAAGTGCATTTAACAGTGTTCCTGGGAGCTTTCTGATCAATGCATTTACGTCCTCCTCGGATAAATGTTCCGGTCTAACTGGTTTCCATCGTCCAGTAATAAAGCAATGTGAAAATGTTTCAACAACTCTGAGAGTTAGATGAGGTATCTCCTTGATTTCAATCTCCTTTGCTTTCCTTAAACATGACAAAACAGAACCGTAATCCCTGAGCTTATAAACATATGCATTTATACCTCCACTGTCTTGGGTTTCATGTGACGGCATAACCTATAAAATAAACGACACAACAATATCCAACAGAATGTCAAATGCCCGACAATAAACAATACAAAGAATCTAGAGCTTTATTGATTCTTCAAAATTAAACAATTTCAAGAAAACGAGAGAGAAATAGAACTTTAAAATTAATTGGTAGTAAGAAATAAACAAATAAATTTAAATCTTGACCCATATGAATCTAAAGAGGCGAAATAGGAAAATTCAAAGAACCCAAAACTAGAAACCAAAAAAAGCCAACTCACATCAGATAAAACATCCTGCAATCTTTGCAAACAAACTTCATCTCCTGGGTAGAGACACCAGCGCAGAATCTCTGGGGCAATCGAGAAGGAGTCAGGGGAGTGAATTTCAAGCCTGGCCTGGAACTGTTTAGACAATTCGGTACTCGAAACTTGAGATCGTTTTGGGATACGGGCATTTTCATGTGCAAGTTTAGGGCACTTGGCGAGCCTCCAATAATGAAATAGGTTTTCTTTATGGTGAATGTTGGCAGTAGATGACTCAGTTAGCGCTTTTCTCTTAGCGATCGCAGCTAACCGGTTTGCTTCGGCTTGCTTTCTTTGATCTTCTGTGAGCTTACTTTTCTCCATATTTTTACAATCACTACATTTTGATCCCTTTCTTGTAAAAAATCAAAAATCAACCAACATATCTCAACCACTGTCACCACAGCCTCCCGGTTGCCATTGCCTACAGCCACAAATAATCATACAACAATTAAAAAATGTTAGATCAAAAAATATAACAGTACTTCAACTCCAATTCCAAGCTCCATACCATTGAGAGTCTCCATGGTTTTTTTTATAATGTGTCTGACATTTATTATTATTTTTATTTTAACCCAAAAAAAAACCTAAATATGTGTAACTAGAATTAAAGACCAACAATTATCACCCGCTCCAAACAATCATTAATAACTATTAACAATTTGGACATTCATCACGTAATAACTTTAGCCTCAATTTCCCACATTACAAGACATTTTCGCCACAATTTCACTAGTCAATATCTAAAAATAATTGACAATTAAAATAAAAAATACAAATTTCCCTAAACAATTTTTTGAGAATCTCATTTTAATTTCTTTAAAATATTTCACCAAGTTAAACGAATTAAAACAACTTTTAATTAGATCAAATAATCAACAATTGTACAAGCTATATACTCTTGTTATTAATATAATTTTTAGTACCATGTTTTAATTTTTTCCCATATTATGAACTAAAATCATATCCAAAATTATTAAATTCAATTGCACTTAATCTAATGAACTGTTCGAGAAGTTGGTACCAAATTTGCGATTGCAATGATATTCTACGTACCACATTAAAGACAAGAAATACACAAAAGTATAGGAAGTACTAAAAGGACCCCGTTGATTTTAGATTTTTACCTTTGAGTCCTAAAATCATGATTCCAGGTGGAAGAATAAGAGGGAATATGAAAATTGATACATTGATTATTGAAAGTAATGACTAAATAAAAGAAATAAGCAACCATTGTAAATAGGATGAGTTCATCAACCAAGGGCTTGGCAGTTCCAAAACAAGTAAAACATGTTTCTCTCGAGTGAACAAAAATTATTCCATAGTTAACCAAACAAAACGAAACAATCGAAATCAAGGTAACCCTTCTGGGTGAAACGGTTTCAAAATTATACCTCAGTAGTCTGATGTATAAATGTCATCATCGATTTTAAAAATCATCTTCACAACTTGTGTTACCAGCAAGATCTGTTATTGCTTCCCGATCAGCGTTTCAAAGACGTCTTGCTGCCGCATATCATTAGTCCTAACATCATTGCAGTTTTCCGTAGTGTAGATTGTTATCCTAGAAACGAATAAAAAAATTATATGTGAAAATTTGAAAACACATGAAAAACCCATAAAATAAATTGTCATGGTCTCAAAAGAGGGAGGATAATGAAGAACAAAAGAAATGAAAGAAAAAAAATAGGACTAGATATGAAGAACAAAAGGTGAAAAGGGGAAAAAAGAGAAGAGAACGCGACATACCAGGTGAGCGGCAACAACAAATGAATAAGTTTGAAAAAAAAAAGCCCTAAATAACATATAGATAGGGAGTGGTATTTTTGTAAATAAATTTATATTTAACCTAAAATTATTGTGGTATAGTTTAATGTTGGTATTATTATTATTTTAGGAAAGAAGTTTATATTTTGCAATTTGGTATTATTACTATTTTATTTAAATGAATTTTATATTTTCTTTGTATTTTTTATTAATTATATGCTTATGGTGTAGTTTAAATTAAAAAATAAATTATATATATATTAAAACTTTCAAATAAAGCATTTTACTAGATCTTAAATAAATAAAATTGTTCTTTTAATACTGTTTTAAATTTTAAGATAATTTTCAAACTTTCGTAACGATTTTTAATAATAAATTATTTTATAAATGTTTTACAAAACATTTAACAAGTATATAACTCAAGAATTATTATAAGATTTTTGCTAATTTTTTGTGTTAAAAATATTCACTTTAATATGAATTTGTGTTATTTAAATTAAAAAATGAAAATTTTCAATGTGTGTATTAATATTAATATATGTGAGTAAATAAAAAATTTAATAATTGAAAATGAAAAAAAGATGAGAGACAACAACAACAACAACAACAAAACCCAATTCCCATATGCAATGGGGTAAGGGGGAGGTAGGGTAGTAGGTTGCCCCCAACGCCAGGTTGAGAGTAGCTTCCGTGGAAGACCTCCGGCAGTCAGAAAATTAAAATATAGATAAATGCAATGCATGTATAAATAAATACGTAAATACATAGTTGAACAGTATTCATATGCAGTCATTAATATCATATGCGCGTTTGTAATGGGCAGTAATCCCTGCAAATAAATCTCTGTGAAAAAATCTCTGCATATAGACAGAAACGTAAGACCCGACTAAATTTAAAAGTGAAGAGAATGTTACACAGAAGTCAACGATAGCAAGCCCAGTTCTAAGCCTTCATAAATACCAATAACAGAAACGTATAAAAAGTAGAAGTCATGGACAAACAACACAACAACAACAAAACCCAATTCCCATATGCAATGGGGTAAGGGGGAGGTAGGGTAGTAGGCTGCCCCCAACGCCAGGTTGAGAGTAGCCTCCGTGGAAGACCTCCGGCAGTCAGAAAATTAAAAATATAGATAAAATGCAATGCATGTATAAATAAATACATAAATACATAGTTGTACAGTATTCATATGCAATCATTAATATCATTAATATCATATGCGCGTCTGTAATGGGCAGTAATCTTTGTATATAGACAGAAACATAAGAACCGACTAAATTTAAAAGTGGAGAAAAAGATACACAGAAGTCAAACGATAGCAAGGCCAGTTCTAAGCCATCATAAATATCAATAACAGAAACGGATAAAAAGTAGAAGTTATGTAAATTACTACAAAGGCATTAAAAGAAGACAGAGATGATACACCCTAGAGATGTGACCCACACTACTCGACTATCCTAGTCTTAAGTCTCCATACTTTCCTATCAGAGGTCATGTCCTCGGTAAGGGCTAAATCCATCATATCAGATCTCAAGCAGTCTTCCCACTTCCGTCTTGGTCGTCCTCTCCTTCTGGCACCGTCGACTGAAATCGACTCTACCCTCCTGACCACATCAGATGGTAGTCGCCTAAGGACATGCCCAAACCACCGTAGTCTTCCTTCCCTCAATTTCTCGGAAACAGGCACCACTCCCAAGGACATCCTAATAGCAGAGTTTGTTGTCATATCCCACAGAGTCCTACCGCATGTCCACCGAAGCATTCTCATTTCTGAGGCCTCTATCCTCCTTACATGATCCTTCTTGGTTGCCCAACATTCAGATCCATACAATAGTGCTGGTCTTATTGTCATTCTATAAAATTTTCCCTTAAGTTTTAGAGGCACCTTCTTGTCACACAAAACTCCAGTAGCGGCCCTCCACTTTAGCCATCCCGCCTTTATACGGTGTGTAACGTCATCATCTACACCCCCATCTTTATGTATCATAGACCCTAGGTACTTGAAACAATCCTTTGAGGGGAGAACGTGTCCTTCTATGCATACTTCTACATCGTCTTCGTTTTGGTCCCTACTGAAGTTTGAACATAAATACTCTGCCTTATCAATATTGATCCTTAGACCTTTTTCTTCTAAAGCAGTCTTCCAGTTAGCCAGTCTACTATTCAACTCAGATTTTGTTTCAGCCACTAGGACAATGTCGTCAGCGAAAAGCATACACCATGGTACACCGTCTGGTGTCGCACAAAAGATGTCGTCCATAATCAAGGCGAAGATGTAAGGGCTAAGAGCCGACCCCTGGTGGAGTCCGATTTCCACCGGGAATGCCTCGGTGTCGCCAACTGTAGTCCTGACGTATGTAGTAGATCTACAATACATATCACGAATCGTCCGGATATAAATAGTTGGGATCCGTCTCGTTTCCAAAGTCTTCCAGATCGTATCGCGGGGAACGCTATCATAAGCCTTTTCAAGGTCAATGAACGCCATGTGAAGATCTCTAGACTTTTCCCTATATTTCTCCATAAGTCGTCGAAGTAGATGAATCACCTCCGTGGTAGACCTGCCTGGCATAAAGCCAAATTGGTTTTCCGAAACCCTAGTAACTTGTCTCAACCTAGCCTCTATCACCCTTTCCCATAGCTTCATGGTATGGCTGAGTAGTTTAATACCTCTGTAGTTACCACAACGTTGGGGATCTCCTTTATTCTTATAGATTGGTATCACCGTGGACTCTCTCCACTCCTCTGGCATCTTGGCAGTCTCTAAAATAATATTAAAGATGTTGGTCAACCACTTAACTCCCTCTTCTCCTAGGTCCAACCACACAGTGATAGGAATTTGATCAGGACCGGCAGCTTTGTCCCTTCCCATCTTTCTAAGAGCCATTTTGACTTCCTCAAACCCAATCCTACTTGTAGGGCAGTCATTGGCCGATGTATGATGGTCGGATGACCCATCAACGGTACTTTCTCTACAGGGAGAGGCACCGTCATTAATAAATCAAAGAAGTAATTACCCCAAACCCTCTTAAATCATGATCTTCGCTATAAGAACACCATTGTTGTCCTTAATAAATCTAATGCTACCTAGATCCTTTTTCTATTCTCCCTAGATTTTGCAAGCCTGAAGATGCCGTTTTGTCCTTCCTTGGTGTCTAATCTCTTGTACATTTCCTCGTATGCCTTATCCTTTGCTTTAGCCACCGTTTTCTTGGCTTCCCGCTTTGCCTCCTTGTATCTTTGTTTATCTCTCGACCTTTCTTCATCGTCATTGCATTGTAGAAACTCCTTGAAGCAAGTTTGCTTTGTCTTCACCTTAGTTTGGACTTCGTCGTTCCACCACCACGATTCTTTATGTTCCTTGGCCTTCCCTGTCGACAACCCCAGGGTGTTTTTGCCCACCTCTCTGATGGAATTTGCCATATTTTTCCATAACAAATCTGCATTATTTGAGTTTGTAGTTCCAAAACCTGTATTAGACAAAACCTTACTCCTAAAGTCATGGAAATTACTACAAAGGCATTAAAAGAAGACAGAGATGATACACCCTAGAGATGTGACCCACACTACTCGACTACCCTAGTCTTAAGTCTCCATACTTTCCTATCAGAGGTCATGTCCTCGGTAAGGGCTAAATCCATCAAATCAGATCTCAAGCAGTCTTCCCACTTTCGTCTTGGTCGTCCTCTCCTTCTGGCACCGTCGACTGTAATCGACTCTACCCTCCTGACCGTATCCGAAGGTAGTCGCCTAAGGACAAGCCCAAACCATCGTAGTCTTCCCTCCCTCAATTTTTCGGAAACAGGCACCACCCCCAAGGACATCCTAATAGCAGAGTTTGTTGTCATATCCCACAGAGTCCTACCGCATGTCCATCGAAGAATTCTCATTTCTGCGGCCTCTATCATCCTTACATGATCCTTCTTGGTTGCCCAACATTCTGATCCATACAACAACGCTGTTCTTATTGCCATTCTATAAAATTTTCCCTTAAGTTTTAGAGGCACCTTCTTGTCACACAAAACTCCAGTAGCGGCCCTCCACTTTAGCCATCCCGCCTTTATACGGTGTGTAACGTCATCATCTACACCCCCATCTTTATGTATCATAGACCCTAGGTACTTGAAACAATCCTTTGAGGGGAGAACGTGTCCTTCTATGCATACTTCTACATCTTCATCGTTTTGGTCCCCACTGAAGTTTGAACATAAATACTCTGTCTTTTCAATATTGATCATTAGACATTTTTCTTCCAAAGCAGTCTTCCAGGTAGCCAGTCTACTATTCAACTCAGATTTTATTTCAGCAACTAGGACAATGTCGTCAGCGAAAAGCATACACCATGGTACACCGTCTAGTGTCGCACAATAGATGAGAGAGAATTTTTTAATAAAAGAGATTAAAATGAATGAATTTATTTTTTTTAAATTACACTAAGGTAACATGTTAGGTTCAATCTAGAAAAGGTTTGTGTTAGGATCTATAGATGATCAGACTCCAGTCGTCATTTTTTATTTTTTTAAAATTAATAAAAATAAATAATATTATATTTTTAAATAAAATATAAAAAATTATTTTATTTTTACTTTATTTTATACTAAGATTAAAATATAACTTTTATTATAACTATTGTTAAAAAAGTAAAAAAAAAAGTAAATATCTTTCTAAATAAGGGCAAAAGTAAAAAAATGAAAAATATGATTTTAATAAAATATTTTTCATTGTTACATTAATATTATTTGTTATAAAATATATATCATTTTAAGAATATTTAAATTATTTGATTTTACTTTTTCATTGTTTTTTTACTTTGATCCTTATTTAGAAAGATGTTTACTTTTTCTTTACTTTTTAACAATATTTATTTTAATCTTAGTATAAAATAAATCAAAATAAACATTTTTAAAAAAAAATTATATTTACTAATTTGACCTTAGGTGTAAGAGCAAAATCCAGTTAATTAGTTTATACGAAGATGGATTGGGTGGAAAGAAGACGA